AAAATGGGTTTTAAAGGGCGGGGCTAATTCCGGGTGGATTGGGGCCGATGTATTTTTATAATTTGGGGGGCATTTAATAAATGGGGAAGCGATTATGAGGATTCAAGGTATGTTCGTGAATTTCGTAACTGGGACGTTCCGAACTACCTGAAGATTTTTCGAGGAAACAGAGGATGCTCTATGGTCCACAAGGTTCTATGAAGTGTGCATTACCCGAAGTACGCCAGTCCATGGGAATGATGGTATGCGGCTCCAGATGCTCCAGGTGCCTAGTGGAGGCCTAAGTCAGCCGTATCACCAGCTATGACGTATTCACTTGCTGTCGCACTGACGATGATCCGTTGCACTCTGGTAAGATGTATCAGCGCAATGGCAATCGGTGGTAAGATGCATGTATGGACATACGAAATGCGACAGCCGCCAAAGCTCTTCGAGCAAGATTATGTTGCTACTTCTGAAGGTGTCATGGGAGAGCAGACAGGATCAGACGGCTTTGTTAAAGCTCGGGGTTGTTTAGAATGGTGGTGAGACTTACTTGGATCAAATAAGCCGACAGCGCAAAACAGAAAGCAAACTCATGTGGCGAAGACCGGAGGACGGTGTGTGAAAAGTTGCGGCCACAGAGCCATCCTCTCATACGAAGGGCTGGTGATGTGAGGAAATTCCGGCAGGTTTGGTGATGGCTTTGATGGATGAGCTCTCCGTCGAGGCAACAAGTGCAGAACAAATAACCGGCTCGAAACTACACCTCAGGAGGAAGACGAAAACCATCTAGACTTCCATGTGCACAGCACAGGCCTTCATGCATACAGCCAGTGCATGCAGGTCTCCCACAACGGAGCTCATAGCGGCGAATAGATCCGTCAACCATAATGCCATCATCGCGGGAGACCATCCTTGCTTGAAGAAAAGATGGCTCCTGATGGTTTGGCTTGTGGCTGCAGCTACGTAGTTACTTGTGCTTCCCAACCATCCCTTACCCTCGTGCAAGTCCGAAGAATGGCCGAGAAAGGGGCCCTCATACGAACTTGTGACTTCTTAAGTAGAACTAGTATGTGTGACCCTAAACCCTAAACCCTAAACAATCAATAAAGCATCCTGAACTCTGAACTCTGAAGAGTAGGATCGGGAGTACACCCCCCATGAAGGAAGCCAATTTCATAAGCCAACTCCAAAGGGGCCAGAAACACTGGAAGTAAAGGTTTAAGGAGTTCTGGGCTTAAGGGCTTCATGTCTGTGCACTTTGGGAGGCTTGCCTTATCTGACTCCTCAAGTCAGGCTTGTTTCCCATATCCTGTCCCAAGCTGGGAGTCTGTGCGAGCACAAGCTGGACATAGCTGACGGTCAATCTGGAAGTGGGAACATTTGACGAGCATGCCTTCTCTAGTCGGAACATCTCCAGCCTGAGCAGATCTGCTTCTCAAAACGCCGACCGAAACATACCTGAACACGTCCAAGCCACACTGAACTTTGCAGTACGTCATCTTCCTTCTCCCCCGAAATCCGTACAGCTCATTTTGTAAAACCCTTATTCCCCGCTGGGGCACCACGAAATTGAACTTCAGCACCGTATCACATCACATGAAGAAGCCAAAATTTCCCAGATTAGGTTTGGACGCACGAGGATGATTCGGTCTTTGGTCTTAGGTTGTTCAGGCTTTCGAAAAGAAGGTACAGCAGAGGCACGGGCTGCAAACGCTGGGGTTTAGGGCTGTGTACTTGTGTAGGGCCTATGGGGTTTATGAAGAATCCATGAAGCCAAGTTTCCTGCAGCGGTGATCCTTTGCACATGCCTCCTGGCAGGTGGGTTCAAGTTGTAGAACGTCCGTCTTCAAATGAGAAAGCTCGCTTGCGAGTACCGTCTCCCCGAGAGCATCTATGGGTAGACCTGAGAACTCCACTGTTATACCACAGAAGACCATATGAAACCAAACTGTGTAAATCCATGTATAATATAATATAATATAACATAATAAAGCCCTAACAGAACTACGCAAAACCTCTCTAGAAAAACCTTTGCTAAGCCCTCTGAGATGGTCCTGGGCTTCGGGAAGGCTTTGGAAGAAGTACTTCCGAATCTCCGCCTGACAGGAACCGGCCGGACCCTGACAATTCGGGAGCGTGGGAATCCCGACAATTCGGGAGCGTGGGAAAGCGTAGGGGTTAGCATGTAAAGATTGAGGCCAAAAGGGCTTATAGGGTTTAGGGCTTACAGGCCTTGAAGAGGCTGTGAGGCTCAATCAGAACCCTCTAGTTCTCATCCTCCCCTCCTGCCAGATCCTTTGAGACAAGTCTCGAGAAATCGGTTTTATCGTCACATGTCTGATTGGAAGACCAAACGTGGCTGTTAAAACTACAGGATTTGCTTTCCAAAGCATCATCGCCATGACGGAGACCCTGATCCCTACTTACAGGTGTTATTCTGAACGCCTTTGGAATTTTTTGCTTCTTATGAGTAGCCATGCTGTCCGACAGATCGGAGCATCATGAAAGGGGGGTGGAAGCGGAGTGGGTTCATTAATCCTTCATTGATCATCTTCATATAGGGTGAATATCGGATTAGCCACAGGTTGTGGTCAATGACGGATTCATGATCGATAACCTGCCGACCAACTCCCACCGCGATAGTCTCTAACAGCCGCCGCCGGAAAGCAAAAGAGCTTCAAACACAAAGAGCGAGTAGTAGCGCGAAGGAAAGAAGACCGTGGCTAATCCGAGGCCCAGACTCCCCGAAGGAGCGGCCTTTCCTGCTGTTTCCCGTCATCCTACACCCACCCCGTACAAATCCTGAGCTAATCCGAAGCCGACACCCTCGAAAGAGACCGCCTTCCTTTGTGTTTCCCGAAACAATAATCCTCCACTAATCCTGTATGTGATCCCTTACTAATCCGAGACACGAGCGGGAGAGACCGCTTCCCCGTATGTTTCTCGCTCAACTCAATCCTACATGATCCTGAGCTAATCCATCGTGCGTCAAGCCTCCAGATCCTCCACTAATCCTGCACGAAGGCTTGCATGGATCCGAGGCTAAGCCCGAAGTCGCCCGCAAGACCCTCCGATCCAGGCAATGTGGGAAATCCAAGAAGAGACGTTTCAGAAGACTCAGGGCAAGCAAAGGATACGCATAGGATCGATTTCCTACTTCAACCCGTTCACACAGGATGCATAAAGGATTTAAGCAACTCACTCCCCCTCTCACCCTAAACCCTAGACCCTAAACCCTAAATCCCACCAATTCGTCATAGCATCGTCGGCCAAGGCCAAGGAGGAGCTGCGCCGTAAACTTGAAACCAAACTACAAGGGGGCAAGCTCCCTCGATAATCACAACAAGTTTAGGGGGTATACTATAGCACCATGATGCAAAACGCCAGAAAATTCGGCGGTATACCTTGACTATATGCTCAGACCCCTGCAAAAAGAAGCCCCCTAGAACCCGCTAGGCCTTCTTTGGTTGTTTTTTCTGCCCAAAGACTTTGATGCCGCAGAACTGGATATCGGCTCCAGAGCCTCAGGGTTAAGGTTTAGGGTTTAGGGTTTAGGGTTTGGGGTTTAGGGTTTGTGGGTTTAGGGCTTAGGGTTTGGGGTTTGGGGTTTAGGGTTTAGGGTTTGGGGTTTAGGGTTTATAAGCTTGGGATTTACACCACCATATCTATCTATCCAGGATAGACATATCCATATACATATCTACATGCATACGTACATATATACCCATATACTTATGACGTGCAGCACCCGGCTAGAGTCGCAAGTTCATTGAATAAGTACTTTGCAGAGATTGGATTTCAATAGGACTTCGACAGGATTTCCTAGATTGCGATACAAGCATAAAAAAAACATACCAGAAGATATTCATTTTTGACAGAGTCTTAGTATTTTCCTAGTTCTGTCAATTGTTTCTCCTAGTTTCCCTATTTTCGTCTCACAAAATGACTTCAATAGGATGTCGATAGGATGTTCATCCTGTGTCGTCGATTTTCCATATTTCTGTCCTAGAATAAGATAATAAACAAACAGACCCAAACGGATTTTCAATGCCATTTCGATAGGATTTCCTGGGTTGCGATGCAACAACCGAAAAAATCGCAGGCAATGATGCATTCGGGGCATAATCTCATATTCTTCCCTACAACTGTCCTATAGTAGGCTAAATATGAGACAATTGGGATTTCAAACAGATTTCTATAGGATTTCCGGGGTTGTGATGCAAAAACCGACAACGGTTCATTTTGGACCCAATCCTATCATTTTCCTATTGATCTCCGACAGTTCACCCCAAAATCGTAAGTATTTCGAACCACCTCTTCTCAGCCCTCTCGACACGTCATAAAACAAATACATATATACGTTGGTATATGTGCGTACGTAATTACATACGTACATACGGACGTATGCATCTATGCATGTCGGTAGGTATGTATATATGTATGTGTATATATGTACATACATCTTTATCTCTGTATGCATGCGTACGTAAATCTATATGTGTATGTATATGTACTTATATGTAGATTCATCTGTATGTGTCAATGTCTATTATGTCCATCTGCATGCGCATGCATATGCATATATGGACATATGCATATCTGTATTATATGTATATACGTAAATCTGTATATATGCATACATGCGCGTACGTATATATGTAGGTGTATATGTGTAGTTATGCACGTATAGGTGTATTTGTAGGTCCAAAAGTATGTAAACATCTATACTATATATAACAGTATAGAGTCGTGTCTAACATGCACGCAACTGCGTACGAATCCATCTGCGTACCTACGTATGCATGCATGTATGATCCAGTTCCTCAGCTCCCGGGCCCACCCCCCCGCCAGCCCACCGCTCCGCGCCCCTGTGGGTTTGCGCCGCTTTGTTGGTCCGCACCATCCCGTGGTGCCTGTGCGTTTGCGGGTTTGATTGTTTTCTTCGTCCCCTCGCTTGCCTTCCTGGCCCTCGCTGGCTCGATGTCATCTCCATGTTTCGTCCATTGTGCCGTCTTGCATGGTGTCCTGGCAGGTCTCTGCCATTCCGAGGTGAAGCTAAGCTGCTCCCGTCCGCGTTGCCGGATTACCCTTCCGACCCTCCCTTCCCCTTTCCTCCCCTCCCTGAACTCTGCCACCATCGATACCACTCCAAAGACAAGTGCTGTTACCCCTCCAACAACTGCTGCAACTACTGCGAGTTCATGCTGCTAGCTTCAACCTTGCTCTCGGCCCCGCACGAAACGCGCCGGTGCTGATCTTGATCTTCTTGGTTTTTGCATAGCCTTAGCGAAAACATTGCTTCTTCAAGCTCAAATCTACTGCGAGGGTGCTTGATCCGAGCCATGAACCCTACAAGTCTTTAAGCTGAGAGTGATGACTTAGTGATCCACTCCAAAATGCCGCGTGCTCTGAAACCTTCTTCATCCCTCGGTTATACGAAGCTGGCCATCTGACTAAGGGCCTTTCAAGGCTTCGGGTGTAGGCTTTGGAGCTGCTCGGAGGGCTTAGCCAAGATCTTCGGCTTTAGAATGTAGTGTTCAGGGTTCCGTGCGGATGCGTGCAATAATTCAGGAACACTCCGAAAGAGCAGCCATGGGAGAACGAAGACCGGTACTCGTACTCCGAGAAACCTCCTGAAGCCACAAGCCCCAAACCCTAAACCCGACGCTGGACCGACCTCAAAGTCTGTTCTGAAACCTCAGGAAACTGGATCCGCTAACCCCAAAACCGAAAAAACCCTAAACCTCCAACGTGCGCCGAGGGTCATCGGACCCCATAACAGTCCCTTTAAGGGGTCTCCCTGATTCTACTAAATCTTAAACCTACAGCCCTAAAACCCTAAATTCCTAAAAGCCTAAAACCCTAAAGCACCCCAAACCTCCAAAACACACGCCGAGGATCATCGGACCCTCTTCGTCTCACCTTCGCCGATGGTGATGCGGCTGGCACACTTCCGCTTGCCGGCCTGAAGCTCGCAAAAGGGCCGAGATGGGATGGGGGGGGAGGGTTTAGGGTTTCAGGCGGTTTTAGGGTTTAGGAAGCTTGATGAAGGCTCTCCTATTTTCACTCCGAAACTCCGATGAGAGGCCCTGAGGAACCACACTTGCGCGCGCGCAAGCGAAGGAGGTGTTTGGAGGAATCCCTAAACCCTGAACCCTAAACCCCTAAACCCCAAACCCTAAACCCCTAAACCCTAAACCCCAAACCCTAAACCCCTAAACCCTAAACTCTAAACCCTGAACCCGGTCCTGCTTATCAGGTTGTGGAGCTACCGGTTTAAGGTGTATCTCATGGGAAAGCCGGGGGAGCCCCTAAACCCTGAAACCTAACACCCTATACCGTAGAACCCTGACACCCTAAGCCCCAAAAAGAGATGCCTGAGCTTTTGGGTTTTGGGGGTTCAGCTTGGGGTTATGGGTGCTGCATAAGGGCTTGGACTTGACTTGGGGTTTACGGGACGTGTTCTCGCTCACCCTAAACCCTAAACCCCTAAACCCTAAACCCCTAAACCCTAAACCCTAAACCCTAAACCCCAAACCCCTAAACACTAAACCCTAAACCCTTGACCCTCATCCCAATGCGCCCTCAACCCTAAGCGCGCAGGAGCCGGTTCTAAGAATTTTAGGGCCCGGGATCCGATGAGCTGAGCGCAGGACGTCGACATCTGGGAACCTAGGGCGCCTTGAACGTTTAGGGGTTTAGGGTTAAGCCTGTTGCAAAAAAGGGGGTTTAGGGTTTAGGGTTTAGGGGTTAGGGGGTTTAGGGGTTTAGGGGCTCCTTTAAAGGCGTTTGGGGTTTAGGGTTTAGGGTTTAGGGCTTTAAAGGCAGGTGGGGCTCTGACTCCCCCTTATGTGGGACCAGATACTTAGAGACTCCAATATCCCTTTTTTAGGGTTTAGGGTTTAGGGTTTAGGGTAAGGAATATACCCTTAAAGTATAGTAGGATCCCTACTATGATTTAAGGTATATTCCTTAATTAAGGGGTATTGGGGTCTCTGGGTACCCCCCCTATTTGAGGGTACAAGGAGGGTCTTGGTAGGGATTCCATAATACTGGCGCAATTTAAGGTATAGGGCCTTGGGGGCTGAATGATTAGAGTAGGATTTTGAGGGAGTAAACTATAGTGGGACAAGAAAGGAAGACCATTACGTACTTTACTCGAAATATTGGGAAGTTTAGGGCTTACTTGGCCGGCTTCCGAACCGACCTTAACAATCAAGGACATGGACACCGATACAGGGAACAAAGGTCCCAGAAGCGTATGAATATGCTCCAGAAGCAAAGTCCCAAAGCTGGACTTTGAAGTAACCAGGAAGAAAGAAGTATAAACGTTTATTTCATAATGGTCCCTTTATGGAGAAGGTCCCCAAGGAAGCAGTCAAGTATGGTAATCCAGAACGCGAAATGGCCAGCTCCACGCAAGGCAGGCTCAGGGGGTTCCCGAGACTACGCTGCCCAAGTGGGTAATATAGGAGCCTTAACAATTAGAAGAGAACTTTTAGGCATTCCTTCTTCTAATACAATATTAAGGGGCCCCAAAACCCTTTTCCAATTATTAAGGCCCCGACATTAAGAGGGGTTGCTTGGTCTAGCATCGCTTTAAGATATTGCTTCTGGTGATTATCTTGTGGGGGTTCAGTGAAGCGTATCGGGTGTTTACGGAACTCCCAGGAATCGCGTTGCTTTCTTGCCAGGCCTGTACATGAGACCTACAGACAATTAGGGCACAGTATCATGCAGGGGTGCTCATGTAAAGCATCCTGCGGCTTCAGGAGTGTATGCATTGCACCCAGAGACTCCGATACCCCTTAATTAAGGAATATACCTTAAATTATAGTAGGATCCCTAATAAGATTAAGGGGTATTGGAGTCTCTGGGCATGCTATCGCCCGATATGTTGTTGAAACTCCCATGCTTGCAGAGGGAGCGCTTCTTCGAGCGCACGTTCTCTGTCGTTCTTGCTAAACCCAACAGACCCAGCGGCCCCACTTTGAACTCAAAACGCTTGCAGAACCCTCATGAAAACCTTGGTTCACTTACCAAACCTGGAAGAAGCATTGAGAGAGAAAGGGCTCTAAAATTGGTCCAAAACAGTATTAATAGTTGTTTGAGGGGAACACCGCACAAACAGTTACAGCAAGGCAATCACTGTTTTACCTTGAGCCAAATGTGTCAATGATCATTGTAATGCCGTGTCTGCCTCAACAGACATGTTCTTCCTAACAGCACTACAGGCACATGCAACATGACTGTCCAGACACTGTACAAGAGGGCTTGAGGACCTGTATCTTCAACTCCCCCCTTTTGGAAGTTCATGTTGTGCCAACGTTTGAGGGTAAGTGTCGGAAGCAACAGCGTGACAAGGCAGTTCAGGGAACCTACGGGCCCTACTCAAAGCCTCGACTCACCACGCGTGGGAGGAGGGCGAGCGCAGATGGCACTGCTCACAGGTGGGGCATGTGAAAACCCACATCCCTTAGCAACTGTTGGTCTGGGAAAAGCAAGTTGATCCATCCGCGAGGAGTGTAAGCAACGAGCACAACCCTTTGTGCTAAGGATCCCTGGATCCCTGCCAGGGGACAGTGCAGTGTTTGCGTGAAGGCTTGAACAAGGCTGGAAGGTGGAGGATGCAACCAGGAAGGTTGCAGTTGTACTGGGGCCATCAGGATCTTCGATCCATATTCTGACAACCTGCGTAATCGGAAGTACCAGGTTGTACGAGTCCGGCTCGTTCCACTTGTCGCTGTGGAGTTCGGTCTGTTGACCGCGGAACAAAGCTACTGCCGTGAACGTGTGGTTTCTACGCTGTTGCCTAACGAACCTGGTGAAGACACGAACGACTTCAGGGAAAAGACTGGTGTTACTTCTGATTCCGACTATGCCGCTGCCATGCGCGTAAGCGCCAACTGAAAAGCAGGCGTTTCAGTAGTCTCTGGACCTCTGCGCGCCCCGTCGTGAGGAAGGAGCGTCAGCAAATGCAAAATGTGTTGCTTTTCAACGCAGCGAGGCACCAAGCCTGCGGCCGCACGAGGATCTGCTAACACAAGGGCATCAGCTGAAAGATCTGGGGCTGTAGTTGCCAATGCATTGTCAGTGGCAGGCAAGAGGCACAGCTGACTCAGAACAAGAGGCCATTCTTGAGGCGATATGACCTTCGTAAACCCATTTGCCCTCTGAAGTTTGGTGCTGCAGTAAACAGCTTGGACGCGTTCTTCTGCAAGCCTTTCGCACACGGAGGAGACGTTAACACGATGAACCCGGTTCATGTGTCGAAGTTTCGCGCTATAGCTTGCCTTGAGGATCGCGAGCACCGTTTCGTTGTCTTGGTGGTAGGACACCGAAACTGCAGCGTCAAGCAGAACCTCGAGGAAGGTCTGTAGGTTCTGTGTCTCAGAGAACATCGCTGTGGCAAGCGCGATCATCTCTGCTTCCGTGGTGCTTCTGGCCGTTGATGATTGCTTCCTAGATAACCAGTGGACAGGGAAGTAAGATTCACCAGTGCACAGCATTATGATGATGCCGGACGTGCTTTTGGCACTGTACGGGCAAGATGCGAAATCTGCATCCGTAAACACTTCGATGTTGCAGGAGAGGTCGGTTTGCGAAACTGCTCCTCGTAACGTGAGGTGTGTCGTGTGATGGAGATATGAAATGCAACGCATTAACTGGCGATCCTCAAATTTGGTCCATTTCGTCACCCTCGACGCTAACCGGGTGATTGCAAAAGACAAGTCAGGCCGGGCAAGACGACTTAGCCACAGGCCTCGCATAAGAATGCGCGACGCAGCATGATGCAATTCACCTTCTGTCTCCAGGTCGGCATCAGGTGAGCTGGTTCTCCGGATAACAAGGTGACGGAGAGTTGCGTAGCTTGTCTTTGGTGACGCCGGCGACCTCACAGTAGAAGTCGACGAGCTGTGCTGCGTACGAGCACATGTCAAACTCACAGGTCGATGGACTCGTGCCTTGCGGCGTTTCACGCAGCAAGCTGTGGTGTCTACCTAAGATACGACAACCCTTATCACCCGATTCTACGTAGACTTCTGGGTCGAGTTTTACCCTAGACCTCAGCTCGTGCCAGAACTGCTGGTGAAGTTCGGTCGGTCCGCTCAGGGTCAGATCGTCTACATAGACATTGAGTATCAAGGTCTTTCCGTTCTGACGGAAGATCCAGTTGGACGGGTACTCTGGGCATTCTGTGCCGCAGAGTTCGCGCAGGTGTCGCTCTAGGAACAGCTGCCATCTTCGTCCGGACTCTGGATGACCATATAACGATTTCCGCAACTGAACGACGAGCTTGGTCCCTGCGGGGAACCTTTGGTGCCATGAAGGCACCCAAAGCTCGGGTGGGATGACCACCCAGGTGCCCTCGCCTATGGAGGCCTGGAGGTAGGCCTGCACACAGTCGGAGCATGAGGTGGAGTGTCCAGGTCTGAGGCCGTACCACAGGGTGACCCCCAAACCGACCAAGCCGGTGGGCGTCGTTGCGGTGTCTTCAAAGTAAACCTGGTTCCCACTGGCGTCGGTCACGTAATCGCCCCTGTAGACGATCCGTCCTTTGTAGCGGTGGTGTTGTGGCCCGAGCTCAAAGTGTTTGATTCCGCACAATCTGAGCAGCTCCGCGACTTTTATTTTCTGACCAGATTCTTTGGATTCTTTTCTGAGCTGCCATAAAGGCCGTACAGAGTCGTCATCCCAAGTCTGGTTGCTGCGGAGACCCTCGGCTTCTTTTTGTACCGAGCTAACGCCTTGTACGTCTTTGAGCCACTCGCTCCTGCTCAGGTTTTTTGTGACAAGCGCGTTCGTTGCACACATTGCGGGGACACTGCTGTAGAACAGCTGTGGGTAGAGAGCTTCAATCAAAAGATTGGCACAGTGTTGGGTGTTAAGGCTAGTACTCGAGGTGACAGAGCAGTCAGCCGTTTCGTGCTCGTGGTCTCCTGAGCTTTGGTGTTGGCCATCCAA